CTATTAATTCCGTTTTCTGCTGCTTTTTGATACCAATAAAATGCTTTAACATTACTTTTTTCAATACCAATTCCATTTATATAAAAATGACCCAGTTTAATTTGTCCGTCACTACTTTCATTTTCTGCTAATTTTTGGTAACAGCAAAAGGCTTTCTCAAAATCTTTTTCAATACCAATTCCATTTTCGTAACATAAACCTAATTTATATTGTGCATCTTGATTTCCATTTGTTGCAGCAGCTTGATACCAATTAAAAGCCTTAACTTTATCATTAATATTAAATCCTTCACTATAATATAAACTCAAGTTATATTGTATATTTTCATTTTCATTTTTTGCTACATTTTGATGACAATAAAAAACTTTATTTTCATTTTTATTAATACCAGTATTATTTTTTGCTTTTTGATACCAATAAGAAGCTTTTTCTTTATTTTTTTTAGTACCTATTCCATTTTTATAACACATGCCTAATTTATATTGTGCATCTTTATTTTCGTTTTCAGCTGCTTGTTGATACCAATAAAAAGCCAGACTTACATTTTTTTCAGTACCAATTCCATTTTTATAACATAAACCCAATTTATATTGTGCGTCTTTATTCTCATTTTCTGCTGCTTTTTGATAATAATAAAATGCTTTATAATAATCTGATGAAGTACCAATTCCATTTTCATAACATAAACCCAGTCTATATTGTGCATTATTATTTGTTATTGATGCTCTTTGATACCAAGGAAAAGCTTCAGTTGTGTTTTTTTTAGTAATACCAATTCCATTTTCATAATATAATCCTAAACTATATTGTGAATTAGTGCTTCCATTTTCATAATATAATCCTAAACTATATTGTGAATTAGTGCTTCCATTTTCTACTGCCTTTTGTAGCCAATAAAAAGCTTTTTTCAAATCTTTTTCAATACCAATTCCATTTTCATAACATAAACTCAACTCATATTGTGCATTATTCTCACTTTCTGCAGCCTTTTGAAACCAATAAAAAGCTTTAATTTCGTCCTTATCAATATCATTTCCATTTTTGAACAATAATCCTAGTTCATATTGTGCATTACTATCCTTACTTTCTGCAGCCTTTTGAAGCCAATAAAAAGCTTTAGCTTTATTTTTTTTTATCTTGAACCCATTTTCATAATATACACCTAAATCATATTGTGCATTTTTATTGCAATTTAATGCAGCTTTTTGAAGCCAGTAAAAAGCTTTACCCTTATCTTTCTCAATTTTAGTTCCATTTTTATACCATAAACTTAAATTATATTGTGCATTACTATTTTCATTTTCTGCTGCTTTTTCATACCAATAAAAAGCTTTGACCTCATCTTTTTCAATACCTATTCCATTTTCATAACATAAACCCAAACTATATTGTGCATTACTATTTTCATTTTCTGCTGCTTTTTGATACCAACAGAGATCTATAGTTTTACCTTTTTCAATATTTATAATTCCATTTTCATAGCATAAATCCAAACTATATTGCACATTATTATTTTTATTGTCCACAGCTTTTTGATTCCAATAAAGAGCTTTAGCTTCATTCTTTTCAATACCAATTCCATTTTTATAACACAAACATAAACTATACTGAGCATTATTATTTCCATTTTCTGCTGCTTTTTGATACCAATAAAAGGCTTTTTCAAAATCTTTTTCAATACCAATTCCATTTTCATAAAATAAACCTAAATTGTATTGTGCATCATTATTTCCATTTTCTACTGCTATTTGATACCAATAAAAAGCTTTAATTTCATCCTTTTCAATACCAACGCCATTTTCATAGCATAAACCTAAATTATATTGTGCATCATCATTTCCATTTTTTGCAGCTTTTCGATACCAATGAAAAGCTTTAGCTTCATTTTTTTCAATACCAATTTCATTCTCATAGCATTGACCTAAATTATATTGTGCATCGTTATTTCTATTTTTTGCAGCTTTTCGATACCAGTGAAAAGCTTTATATTTGTTCATATCAATACCGATTCCATTTTCATAACATACGCCTAAATTATATTGTGCATTTTCATTTCCATTTTCTGCTGCTTTTTCATACCAATAAAAAGCATTTCTTAAGTCTTTTTCATTTTTATAACATAAACTTAAACTATATTGAGCATTATTATTTCCATTTTCAGCTGCTTTTTGATACCAATAAAAAGCTTTAGCTTCATCTTTTTCAATACCAATTCCATTCTCGTAGCATTGACCTAAATTATACTGTGCATTATTATTCCCATTTTTTGCTGCTTTTTGGTACCATTTAATGGATAATTTAGACTGAAATGTTTTAATCATTTCTAATATAAAAGAAATAAATCTGCTAAGAAAAATTTTTTACAGAAGAACTAGTTACTTCGCAACCTTATAAAAATTTTTCAGAAAAATGATCACGTGTCTGAGTTCCTTCGGAATGAAAACTAGAAAAATGATCATTTATCGGAGTTTTTTTCCAGAATTTTTTTTTATAGGCAATAAGCTAAAAAAACAATTTATATATGCTGTACATTTATTTTTTGTAACACATGAATCAATATTTGATACAGGAGTATTTCGTGACAATAACAAATTTTTTTAACTAAAAATTTTATGTTTGTCAAGATGTAATACTATTTTGTTACATTAGCACTTGTACGCTATCTTGTACAATATATATTATTTATAGTTACACTAGGAAGTATTTGATAATCTTTGAAGATTAGATCGGCATAACGGAAAAAAGTATCAAAATATTTTACACAATGAAACTTGATAACCAGATCTATAGGTTCCACTAAAAGTATTTTGTTTATCGGGTTATCCTATATCAGCGAAAAAAGTTCGATGAAAATTGATTATACTGAAAATTGATTACATCAAATTTTAAAAATTTTTATCCAACAATATAACATGCTAAATAAACTAATTATAATATATTTTAACTTTCCCATCTTTATAAGTGAAAGGGATCGGAAAATGAGTACAAAATATTTTATTAAAAATAATTATATCAGTAACTTTCGCGGTCAAAATTGATTTATTGCATCAATTTTATTAGCATCAATGTATCTGATCACGTGTTATGATATAACCAATATAACCAGTTGGCGGATTATAGGTGGTAATAACCAAACACACAGTCTTATTTCAAAGAACCAATTGAAATCAACGTGGACGGACACGCAAGTAACGCCGATCGTTCACGTGATACAAATACTAAATCATCCTCCAATAAAAATCGACAAAAAGAAGACCAATCAAGTATACATTAATTGATCAAATGATCGCTCAAATAAGGCGACATCCTACGATAACATGAACCTAGAAAAAAGTCTTAAACGAACTTACAGCATGGGTACAACAATTAATCTGTCGAATAAAACAACGTAAGTACTAGACGGTGTGTGTTAAATCACTTTCTCCACGTTCACTCCTACTATGACTGGGTCTTTGGACCTATACGATAGGAGATATATATACTGTACTGGTATGATAGTTCCCAGGAAATTACAAATATGCCTTAAACAACATGAAAAATTCCAGACAGTGGTCCATAATATACAGTATCTGAGAGGCCAAAATATCATGGAATTTAGATGTCAAAAGCTTTAAACTTATTATCACAGCGAAAGGGGAGTATGTTGATAGGATATTTCGAAAAATATCAAACGCGTAAGAACATCCTTCGCGATCGAGAAGGAAGAATTCTATTGATCCCAATACTTTCATCCGAGTAGCAATAGGAAAGTCCCAGGCCCTTTGGAATGGCCGTCAAAAAATGATAGCATTAAAGGCTCTGTTGCATTTGTAGTCAATGAGTTATGATTTTTTAAGTTAAAAATTAAGTTTTTCGTTTCTTTTGTAAGCCACTGCTGTATCATGAGTTATTTAGAAATATATTATTTTAATATTATCTAGGAAGAACTCACCTGAGACTTCAAAACCTAGATAGTCATCGAATAAGAAGGTTTCGGTGAGATTTTATTACTGATAATGAATTGAGGTACAAGGAGCCGTGGGATTAATATTAGTTAGTGTGAAGTGTTTCCCTGCAGTATATCGAATTTCACTATACTTGAACATTTTATATATTATATATTTATTTTTTTTTCGTAAAAAAAATCAAAAAAAAAAATTCATTTTTTGTTAACAAAATTTGAAGTTCGCAAATATTACCTTATTTAAAAAGTTTATTTTTCACTTAAACGCCATGATTTGGTAGGAGCATTAATAAATGATATCATTAACATTAAGTTAAGCTGTATAGTATGCTATAATATAGATTTCCTGATTATTACGTTATTACTAAACTTTAATTTCTTCGCTAGCAAACGGAATAAAGAAGTATGGATAACGAAGATAAAACCTTATATACCGGGAATGTAAAGAAATGAACAAATAAATTTGTGTTTGTTTAACATGTTTGTTTAAATTATAACTCCCCACAATTTTTTTCAGGCAAAAGGAAAGTTAAACTAATTATTCATTTGAAACGGCCTTAATGAGAATAATTGTAAATTTTTTTAAAAAAATATTTGTTCTAAAAATAATAATAGGCCATTTGAATTTTTTTTTGTTGTTGTACAATGTCACGTGCGAAGCAAAAATATCATAGACATGATATATCAAGAATGACACAATTGCCGGACGGACATCCGGACATTGGCACATTGCATAAACGTGCATATTTACTTTCGTTACACTTTGGACTAACAATGTATAGAATCGTCATCCTAGAACGTAATACAGTAACTTGTACTACATGTCACTAACAATCAGCTTATAATTTCACTTAAGACTTTTCCATACTTCTTAAAAAAAAACAATGTCGCAATTAAATACAGATATTCTTTATTTGATATTCAAAGAATTACAATATGATAAAAAGTCACTTGTTTCTTGCCTTAGAGTTAATAAAACTTGGTGTGAAATAATTATTCCAATTTTATGGAAAAATCCTTGGGATGGGAAGAAGAAATTATTATTAAACGTAATAATATCATATTTATCAGATGAAACAAGAAATGACTTAAATGAAAATTTTAGTTTTATTACAAATTCATATAAGAAACCTTTGTTTAATTATATTAGTTTTTGTAAACATCTAAATTTAAAAGTAATCAAAAAGATAATTGAAAAGATAACTATTCATCCTCATATTAAAGAAATTAAAAATGATATATTAAATCTTTTTATTAATAAAAATATGGAATATACACATCTTTATATACCCAAACATTTTGATTATCATTTCACTTCTGGAGCTGAATGTTGTATTTCAAAAATTAAATTTCTTAAGTGTAATGCTAAAGTAAATGATAATATTTTATCAATATTAACGAAATCATGTAAATTAATTAAAGAATTGGAACTTACTACTTATGAGTATAATTATAATTGTGGAATTGCCAAGTTAATTGAAAATCAAAATAGGTTATTTAGTATTAATTTTTTAAATGATTTTTTTAATGATAAGTCATCTCGTAAGGTTATTGAAAATTCATTGGTCAAACATTCGAATACTATACAATATTTTAGCATGTGTGAACAACTTGAAACGAAAGTTTTTACATCTTTTGTAAATTTGAAAATGCTGGAATTGAAAGGTAATCGAACTGATAGTGAATTGAAATGGAATAATATAAGAGATTTATCTTTACTTTACTTACAAACTTTAAAAGTTCGTAATATTCCAATTAATTGTTTGACAAATTTAATTATAAGTTCCGGAAGACAACTTACTAAAATTTGTTATCATTATAAAGATGTTTTTAGTAATAAATTACTTATTAGGGCTATTTATCAAAATTGTCCAAATCTTATTTATCTTGAATTATTATATAGGAATAAAATTATATTAGATTTAGAAAAATTATTGATTAATTGTCGATATTTAAAAAGAATAGATTTCAATATTTATCATTATAAAGAATTAAGAGGTTATTTATATGTTAGATGGCATCAATTATTCTGTACGTTAGCTGTATCATCACCACCTAGTTTATTTGAATTTGTTTTTAAATATACTGATGAAAATCCTGAATTCATATGTTTAAAATACCTTTTTGATAGTTGGAAAGGTAGACATCCTATTTCTTTAAAATTTAAAAAAGAAAGAGATTATTATTATGATAGTAACCAATATGTTAGTTTAATTGAATTTATAGAATCGTATAAAGAAAAGGGAATAATTGAAAAGTTCGTCCATTATCATGATGATGAAGACTTAAATTTATTAGAAATACATAAAGCAAAAAGAGTCGTTAATAATCCTGAGACTGTCGAGACCAAAACAACTAGTATCTGGAATAAATTTAAAGAGGAATTTAATAAATATCTGGGGTACAGTCCTGGAAATAAGTATCCGACCCCTCCCCGCGAGTATATAGTAAAGGAAGAAAGAAAGAAGTGAAATTGAAGATCCTTATATGAAGAATTTATGTAAAAATATGTTAAAAAGAAAAGGAAATTTATAGAGTGATTTAAAAAAAAGTATCGAATGAATATTATGAAATATTAGCGAATGGATTTATTTAAGGAAACATATGATAATTATGATATGGAAGAGAAAATTAGCAGAGCGTTATAAGAGAGATAAAATTATTTTACCCCCTTTTTATTTTTTGGTAATAAATAATCAGTCGGCATTTTTTTAACTTTTATCCCATCCCTTGGGCAGTAATTATTTTTCCGTTATCACGCTCAACTTGAAAAACATTGTTCCTTAACCGCCGCCTATATCCTGGGATTGAAATAAATTTTATAAATCCCTTCGTACGTACTAGTATAATTTTTTTTAAACGTACGTACTATCAAAATATAAGGCGTCCAAGTCGTCCAACGGTGTATCTGAATGTTTTTGTTAGTATGTACTACTTTGACTGCTAAATATAGAAAAATTGTACAAAAAAATCATACATACCCCTGTAAAAAAAGTCGATCCGTTTTTTATATTCCATCTTTTTTTCCCGTAAAAGGCTCATATTTCCAGAATTAATAACCTTATATGAGTTATATCACGGAATTTATCGAATTATTTACATTTTCCGTGAATGGATCCGTGAAAGGCTCATTTTTACGGAGTTTTTAAATTTTTTATAGGGTACGTATATAAATCATACTTTTTTATCAGCCTCGCCATACACTTTTTCAATCCCTTGAAGTCGCGCTCGTTCCTTCTTTAAAATATGAAAATAAAAATATAAATAAATATTTTTTATTTGTTATAATAGCATGTCATTATTTATGTGCATTTATCTTTAAATAAATAAATTATAAACATAATCATATTTAAGCTTATTGCAAAAATGTATTCATGTTCTTTATTAAATTTTAAATCTTTTAAATTTTTTTTTTAATTTTCTTGCAAAACTTAAGTAAAAAAAAAATTGAAGCTACAAAATACTAAATTACTTATAAAAAAATTATATAGGATTTCTTGCCTACATTATAATCCTAATTCCTTTTTCTTTGCTAAATTAGCCAATTTTAAAGCTTCGATAATTTCTTTTACATCCAAGAGAACTATTTCCATTTTAGTAATTATTTAATATTTTAATTGATGTAATTAACGTGAAATTTATTTATATTTATGTAATAAAATATTCATGAAAGGAATTTTTTTTAAAAAAAAAAAAATAATAAATCTCGAATTGATAAAGGGAAACATAATTATATTTTTCGTATGTAATTGTAAAAAATTTAAATCATATACATACTGTTATATATTGTGATAATTGTGATAAGTATATACAGTATGTACCATAAAAAATCATACATACAAAGTAAAAATCCACAAGATTTTTTTCGCACTTTGATCTTTTCTGGAGACGGAATCAACTATTGGTCTTATCTTTCCAATCAATAAGTGAAACAATGGCAATGCACCTGAAAATCATATAAAAATAGGATTGTGACCCTATAAAAAAATTGGATACGTTTTTTATAAAGTTTTTATACGATTTTTTTTCCTTAGAAATAATGTATCATAATAGGATACGGAAAAATGCACAATTCCGTATCACTAAAAATATGGTTTGGATACGGAATTTGCACGGGATTTATATGGAATTTACATGATTTGATCACTGATTTTATCACGAAATTTATACGATTTGGTCACT